GGGGTCGAGACACCTTCTCGTAGGGAAGAAGTTGGGTGACATTCAGGCTATGCTGGCCTCACTCATGAGCTCTATGGGCTAACGACAGACTGGCTAACCTCGAGGCGGTCACCACAGCCCTCACCAAAGCTGTCCTTCCTGATACTGCTCAACAGGCACCAACCGAACCACGGGCTACGGGTATTATTACCTCTTCAGATTATCAGGACGTTGATCCTGCACACACAATCCCAGCCCACATTAAGAGAGACATCCTGGAAGGCAAAGATGTCAACCTAGCATCCATACTAATTTCCTCCCAGGATGTGGTTGAAAATAAGACTTAAATGTATGAGGAAGTATCTGTGGTGGTCAGATCCAAAGACGCCAGGTTAAACCGGAAACTGACCATTCCTGAATTTGTGTTAGCTTTTGGTATATTTAGAGATGTAATTTGTGAAGTGTACCCTAATAGAAGGGAAGAGTTTGATCGTTACATGCACAAGCTGGTGGACCTGGGGAACAAATATGGCTTTTTACAACTACCATAGGTCTTTTTCCACCAAGGTGTCTGGCGCTCTCTCTCAGTATGGTACCCATATCAACTGAAGCAGACTAGATACGGAACTATTCTGTAGACACTTCGCAGGTCTCAAAACACTGGCTTGTGCATCCTGCTCTTCTACTACACACACTACCAATTTTTGTTCTCACACGGCAGACGACCGTAATCAGTCACCTAGCACCAGCAACGCTGGTAGAACTGAGAGAACCACCAGAGACAAACTGGGTCGTCCCATCATTGGTAAATCACAGGTGCAGATTATTGCATATTTGTTCTCATTGTTTCAGGGCACATGTGAAAACCATGTGTCCAAATAAAATGTACCCTAAACCATACCTAACGTCTGTTAACATTCATGTCTTCTCAGCCCTACTAACCAATCACCCCTCCAGACATATGGTAGATTTTCTCATCTCTGGTTTCTCAGAGGGGTTCCATACAAGCATTATACATATGCCCACAGGCCATCTTGAATGTCCAAATTTACAATCAGCACAACAAAACCCAACAGCAGTAGATACACTCTTAGCCCAAAAACTGGCAGAGGGGTTTTTGTTTGGGCCTTTTAAAACCCCACCTTTTATGGCATGGCACACAAATCCCATCAGGATAGTCACAGGGAAATCTTCCCTTTAAGCAGAGACTTATCATAGATCTGTCAGCCCGTCATACCTCATCTACCCCAAGTCTTAACTCCCTTATTCCCTCTGAAGAGTTTTCCCTACAATATGCCACTATAGATCATGCCATCACAGCCATCATGCAAGCAGGGATCGGAGCGTGGCTAAGACAGACATTACAAATGCCTTTAAACTACTACCTATCCACCCTACACTCTGGCACTTACATGGCATCAAATGGGCAGATAACTATTACTTTTTCTCCCGCTTAACCTTTGGGTAAAAAAGTAGCCCCAAAATTTTCAACACTTTTGCAGAATCAACTTGCTGGTTGTTACTTAACATTTCCAGATGCCCCATAGCCATCCATTATCTGGATGATTTCTTGCTGATCAAAGAAAACTCCTTTCCCCCTCAGGAGTCACAAAGAAACCATTAGTCTGTTTGACCACCTGGGTGTCCCAGTATCCTCTAAGAAAACTGAAGGTCCAGACACAATCGTTATATTTCTGGGTATACAACTAGACTCTGCCTCTATGCAAGCTAGTTTACCACAAAAATTACAAACATCCTCAACAGCATCAACCATTACATCTTGCTGGGTAAATGCAACCGCAAGGAACTTCAATCTATCATAGGTTCCTTGAACTTTGCCATGCACATCATCCCTCAAGGGCGTGCTTTCATATCTAGACCTCTGTCTTTTTCCACATTTCCAACATGACAACTATAGACTGTCCTTGGATGCGCACGCCATGGCAGACCTACACCTGTGGAAAGAATGTAAAAGTTTGTTCCTCCCAGAGTTGTCTGACATATCTCCAACCATCTGGTCAGAAGCGACGTCTACCACAGGTTTCGCAGCGATCTTTGAGAATGAATGGCTTTGGGGTAAGTGGCCTCAAGAAGTCTATGACTTAGAAGGCTTTTTTTACAACCTCATCTCTTTTTGAGATTTACCCCTTTGTAGCAGCTGCCGTGGCGTAGGGACATTTATGGTCAGGCTTGTCAGTTCGTTGCCACACAGACAACCAAGCAACATGTCACATCATTAACAAAGGCCGTTCATCATCCCTAACAATCATGAGATTTCTCAGGAAACTCATGTGGTTAGCAGCATGTCACAATTTCTACTTGGTCTGCTTTTATGTACCAGGCATTAGTAACATAGCAGCTGACAGTCTGTCACGTTTCAACTTTCAGGCTTTTCAGCAAGCACTCCCGTCAGCAGCACAAGCAGCCACAGCCACCCCTCCTTTCCAGCAGATAACCATGGACTAGAACTAATCATGCAACATAGCAGGGATCTGTCCAAATTAGCACTATCATCCAACACTCATAGCCCAACCTTTTGTCATGACATCTATTATAGCCTTCCCTTCTTTTTGCCACCTTAAATTACACTTATCTTACAACACAATCAAATTATATCTGACAGGCATTCAACATCACATGCTAACTCTACAACCCAATACACATAGTTTTATGTAATTTTATCAGGTAAAGAACATACTCAGAGGTATTCAGAAATCCGTTCCTCCACGTCCTCCGCAGAGATTACCTATAGACAACACACTTTTCCAGTCATTATCTGACCTGTTAGACTCCAAACCTTTACACTCTACCACCAACTCAGTCATCAAAGCTGCCATGTACATTCTATGGGTTCCTCAGGCCAAGAGAATTCCCTACTATCACCACCACTCAGATAGACAGATGTCTTCTATGCACATACCTACGCAAACACATGGATCAGTAACCCAGTCAAAAATAAGCCAACACGCACCTCCAGTGGAGATCACTTATTTCTCTACCCACAACAAATTGTGTCCAGTAACAGCTCTAGATTCCTATCTTTCACTTACCACGTCACCACCATCACTACACCTATTTTCACTAAAAGGTTGTGTACTCACTACCATGACTTTCATGAAATATATCAGATCCCTGTTAACCATACTAGGCTTTAACCCTTCTCACTACTCAGGTCACTCCTTCTGCATAGGGGCAGCCTCCACAGCTTACAGCGCTAACATATCGGTACATATTAAATCACTGGGGCGTTGGAAGTCATCCGCCTATACAACATACATACCAAAACCTACACAAGTATTAAGAAATGCTTTTAAAGAAATGTCTGGATAATTGTATATATATTTGTTGACTGTATTAAATCTTTGGTTATTCATTTTTGCCCTCTTTATTTACAGGCCTACCGTATCGTCGTTATCGACATACCACAACCGATTTTGCTCTTTTATACTATCCTACGTAGCCCTTAACAAGTATGACTCTTATGAATATGACATTTGAACAGCACGCTAGTTCTATATTAGTATTTATTTTAGTTCTATATTATTATGTTAATATACTATGGATTTATTGTGCAGTATGCCACTTTTATTAATGATGGATATGGTTTATAGTTTACACCCGAGTGTAGTGGTCTTATGGAGACAAGCTCAGGCACTGAGTGTAGTGGTGTTATGGAGACAGGCTCAGGCACCGAGTGTAGTGGTCTTATGGAGACAGGTTCGGGCACCGAGTTTGTGGAACCACCATCCTCTATGTCAAAGTTATGCAAGACTGCAGTCAATGACAAAAAGGATAAGGTGAGGCAGGGGCGGACTGACCACTCGGGCATATCGGTCATGGACCGAGGGCCCGAGGCAGTCAGGGGCCCGGCCGCACAGCCATGCTCCAGCTGGAGAGATCAGAGATATCTCCAACTGAAACAGCAAAAAATAAAATAAAACTATTTAATCGATAGGTTGTGGGGCCCCTGATGCAGCTTGGGGCCCCACAACCTACCGCTCTGCTAGTCACCCCCCCCAATGAGACCTGGCAGCTTCACCTCCTCTCTGCCAGGTCTCCTGCTTCCTCTCCCATGCGGCTCTGTGTGATGGGAGAGGCGGGGCCAGGAAGTGACATCACTTCCTGTTTACTCCTCTCACACAGAGCCGAGGAAGGGAAGGAGCAGCAGCCTGGGACAGAAGAGGAAGCAGAGATGCAGGTAGGCACCAACCACCCCCTCCCCCCCCTCACTGTCACTAGTCACCCCCACCGTCACTAGTCACCCCCACTGTCACTAGTCACTCACCCCCACTGTCACTAGTCACCCCTGTCACTAGTCACCCCCAATGTCACTAGTCACCCCCCTCACTGTCACTAGTCACCCCCCAATGTCACTTCAGTCACCCCTCACTGTCACTAGTCCACCCCCAATGTCACTAGTCACCCCCAATGTCACTAGTCACACCCCCACTGTCACTAGTCAACCCCTGTCACTAGTCACCCCCTCAATGCCCAGTCACCCCCAATGTCACTTCAGTCACCCCCACTGTCACTAAAGGCCACCTCACTGTCAGCCGCCCCCAATGTCACTAGTCACCCCCCAATGTCACCAGCCCCCCACTGTCACCAGTCAACCCCCTCACTGTCACCAGTCACCCCCCCTCACTGTCACTAGTCACCCCCCCTCACTGTCACTAGTCAACCCCCCTCTCTGTCACTAGTCACCCTCTCCCTCACTCTGTCAGTACTCACACCCTCCCTCACTCTGTCACTAGAGTGAGGGGATGACTGGTGACAGAGTGAGGGATGACTGGTGACAGAGTGAGTTAGGGGGTGACTAGTGACAGAGTAAGGGACGAGGGAGGTGACTAGTGACAGAAGGAGGGATGGAGTAGTGACAGAGGGAGGTGGTGACTAGTGACAGTCACCACCTCCCTCACTCTGTCACTAGTCACACCTTCCCTCACTCTGTCACTAGTCACCCCCTCACTCTAGTGACAGTGAGGGAGGGTGTGACTAGTGACAGAGTGAGGGAGGGAAGTGGTGACTAGTGACAGCGTTAGGGAGGGAAGGGGTGACTAGTGACAGAGTGAGGAAGGGGGTGACTAGTGACAGAGGGAGGGGTGACTAGGGACAGAGTGAGGGAGGTGGTGACTAGTGACTAGTGACAGTCACCACCTCCCTCACTCTGTCACTAGTCACCCCCTCCCTCACCGTGTCACCCCCTCCCTCTGTCACTGGTCACCCACTCCTTCCCTCACTCTGTCACCAGTCACCCCTTCCTTCCCTCTGTCACTAGTCACCCCTTCCCTCACTCTGTCACCCCCTTACTCTGTCACCCCCTTACTCTGTCACCCCCTCACTCTGTCACTAGTCACCCCATCCCTCTCTCTGTCACTAGTCACCCCCTCCCTCACTCTGTCACTAATCACCCCCTCTGTCCTTAGTGACAGAGTGAGAGAGGGGGTGACTAGTGACAGAGTGAGGAAGGGGGTGACATAGTGAGGGAGGGGGTGACTAGTGTCACAGTGAGAGAGGGGGTGACTAGTGACAGAGTGAGGGAGGGGGTGACACAGTGACAGAGTTAGGGAGGGAGTGACTAGTGACAGAGAGAGGGATGGGGTGACTAGTGACAGTCACCCCCTCTCTCACTCTGTCACTAGTCACACCCTCTCTCACTCTGTCATTAGTCACCCCCTCTCTCACTCTGTCACCAGTCACCCTTCCTTCCCTCACTCTGCCACTAGTCATCCCTTCCCTCACTCTGTCACCAGTCACCCCTTCCTTCCTTCACAATGACAGAGTTAGGGAGGGAGTGACTAGTGACAGAGAGAGGGATGGGGTGACTAGTGACAGAGAGAAGGACTAGGGGTGACTAGTGAGAGAGGGGGTGATTAGTGACAGAGTGAGGGAGGGGGTGACTAGTGACAGAGGGAGGGGTAACACAGTGACAGAGTAAGGGGGTGACTAGTGACAGAGTGAGGGAGCGGGTGACACAGTGACAGAGTTAGGGAGGGAGTAACTAGTGACAGAGAGAGGGATGGGGTGACTAGTGACAGTCACCCCCCCCCTCACTCTGTCACTAGTCACCCCTTCCCTCCCTCACTCTGCCACTAGTCACCCATTCCCTCACTCTGTCACTAGTCTCCCCCTCTCCTTCCCTCTGTCACTAGTCACCCACTCCCTCACTCTGTCACCAGTCACCCCCACTCAGTGTGTCTCCCCCTCACTCTGCCACCACTCAACCCCTCCCTCCCTCACTCTGCCACCAGGTACCCCCTCACTCTGCCACCTGTCACAACCTCCCACACTCTTCCACCTGTCACCTTCTCCCTCACACACTCTGTCACCTGTCACATATGCATTCACACAGACACTATATACAAAAAAGCACATGTAGTCATCCAGACATGCACAAGTGCATTCACACAGACTCAAATACAAACATGCATTGATACACAGGTCTTCACAATACACACATCCAAAGGAATGCCGTATTATGAATTATATTTAACATTTATTAAAATGCACATATATTTGGCCTTCAAAGGGCCTGGGATCTAATTTTGCCCGGGGGCCCCAAAGGCTCTCAGTCCGCCCCTGAGGTGAGGCCTGATAGAATGCAGTTGTTGGGGATTCTATCATAAGAGTTGTGGAGCTGGACAATAGTAGCCTTGTGGGATCTCTTCCTGGAGCTACTGCTCACAGAGACAGGAGACGTATTTGTAATATTGTTAAGCTAGCAAAGCAGGAAGGGGGATTGGATGTACTTGTCCATCTAGGGACAAGTGACTTGGCTTGCAATTAGGTTTCAGAAGTAAAAATAGTTTGAGTTTTTGCTAATGCTTCCACACAGTCAGTCTCTGAAGTTGCGTATAAGGAACTTTAACTTGTGGTTTGGTGACTGGTGTCCGAAGCAATAATTTGGCTTCATTTCTCATGATAGCACTGTTTGAAATGGAAATAAATTGTACAAAAAAGATGGTTTGCAAAAAGGGAACTAATGTTTTCAGTGAGCAGTTCAGAGGTTTTGCTAGGACATATTTTTACTAGGAGGGGGTGCAAAAGTGATAAAACATCAATACACTTGCCCCCCAAAACAAGGACAGAAAGTGCGTGTAGCATGTGTGCTAAAAAATGATAAGATTAGAGTCATGATTACAAATGCTTGCAGTTTAGGGAATAAGATCCATGAACTTTTGGTAATAATGGCAACTGATAATGTAGATTTAGTCACTGTTACTGAGACATGGCATAATGAGAAAAATGACTGGGACATAGCAATACCAGGGCACTCTTTATATAAAAAAGACAGGGAAGGAAAGAAAGAAAGGGGAGGGGTGGCCCTGTATGTTAAGGATAGCATAAAATCTAGACTAACAAAAGTTAGTGAGGTGAACATAGAGTCCATTTGGGTTGCGTTAGAATTTGGTAATTACACAGTAACTCGTGTAGGTGTGATTCATAGGCCCTCCAAGACAAATAGAAGAGTTAGATAATCTACTAGTTGAGGAAATAGCAAAAATGACAATGAAGGGGGAAGTTATTATCATGTGTGTCTTTAATCTTCCTGATGTGAACTGGAAAACCAAAAGAGCTGCTTGTTCCAGGAGAACACATATTCTAAACTCCCTACTGGGATTGTCTCTAAAACAAGTAGTTGAGGAGCCCACTTTTAAGGAGGCCATACTAGATTTAGTGTTAACAAATGGAGATTTGTATCAGACATTACCGTAGGTGAAAGTTTAGGATTCAGTGATCATTAGGCAGTGTGGTTTAATATAAGGACAGTGACTGAATAACACCACACAAAAACAAAAGTTTTATACTTTAGAAATTAGAATATGTGTAAAGGAGTCATTTAACCCCTTAAGGACACATGGCATGTGTGACATGTCCCTTTTATTCCAGAAGTTTGGTCCTTAAGGGGTTAAATAGAGCAGTTTAAATGGAGCCGAAGAGAAATGGGATTTATTTAAAAGTCGCACTACTAAAGGCAACAAAAACATTGCATTTGGCTTCTCAGTAAAAGCAAACAATTTAAGAAACCGCTGTTGTACTCCGCAGAAGTGGCTAAAATAGTAAAAAACAAAAAATTTGCATTTAGTAATTATAAAAAACCCAGAGTGAGAAAGAGACAGATTTATAAGATTAGACAGAAAGAGGCTAAGAAAATTATCAGAGCTTCCAAATCACACATAGAAGAGAAAATAGCACAATCAGTAAAAAAAGGGGACAAAACATTCTTTTAGATACATAAATGAGAAAATGAAAGTAAAACAAGGATTAGATGGATTAAAAACAAAATAAGGAATGTATGTAGAAGAGGATTAAGGTCTAGCTGACTGCCTTAATTAATATTTTTGTTCCGTATTTACAGATGAAAATGAAGGAAAGGGACCTCAGTTAAGAAAAAGGAGTCATTTATTACACGTGAGTTTACACAGGAAGAGGTTCTATTTCAACTGTCAAAAGTAAAGACAAATAAGGGGCCTGATGGAATACACCCAAAGTTATTAAAGCTACACTATATATAGTCACCTGAACAACTTCAGCTTTATGAGGTTGTTCAGGTGAGAACTACAGCTCCCTGCAGCCTCTCATGTAAACACTGTATTTTCTGAGAAAATACATTTGCCTCCATCCACTCAGATCTACTGTGTACGAGCATCCTGTGATTCAGTATCTCCTCCCACTGCATGCAGACACTGAACTTTCCTCATAGAGATTCATTGATTCAATTAATCTCTATGAGGAGATGCTGATTGGTCAGGGCTGTGTTTGAATCATGCTGGCTTTGCCCCTGATCTGCCTCCTTGTCAGTCTCAGCCAATCCTATGGGGAAGCACTGTGATTGGATCAGGCTATCACATGTCAGCAGACTGCTTGTTTTTCCTGAGTCTATCAGCATGCAGATTTACAGCTTCAGGCTTGAATACAGTAAGATTTTTACTATATTTATGGAGGCATGAGGGGCCTAGGGGGGCTAGATGGCAGTGTTAACACTATAGGGTCAGGAAAACATGTAGTTGCACTGGTGACTATAGTGTCCCTTTAAAAGAGCTTAGTGGTGTACTAGCAAAATCATTAATGGAGTTATTTAACTAATCAGTGTAAACAGGAGTAGTTCTAGAAGATTGGAAGTTAGTAAATGTTGTGCCCATTTACAAGAAAGGTAGTAGGGAGGAGTTGGGCAACTATAGGCCAGTAAGCCTTACTTCAGTAGTGGGGAAAATAATGGAAGCCATGTTAAAGGATAGGATTGTTGAACATCTAAAATCACATGAATATCAAGATCAGAGACATGGGTTTACATGGGTTTACTTCAAGGAGATCATGCCAAACTAATCTTATTGATTTTTTTGATTTCATACAAGAAACCCACTGGTCTCTATGAGAACGTATCACCCCTCAGATAGAGATTATACCCATTTATCAAGCGCTCACGGCTCATATTCTAGGATTGATTTTTGCTTAGCCAATGCCAACTCTTTACCTCTTTTTTAAAAAATAAAAATCAAGGAAAATCCCTGGTCAGACCATAGTTTTATTTTAATGGAAATTGTGAATATTCAACCCCCCGGCAGAACCACCTGGAGATTGAAGGACTCACTCATTAAAGCTAAGAAGAGGAATTAATGAAATTATTAGAGAATAATTAATGAAATTATTAACACTCTTTCTAGAAGAAAACCGATCTGTGGATACCTCTCAAGCGATTAATTGGTGTACGCACAAAGCTGTCATGAGAGGTTATCTAATTAAAATGGGCCATATTTCCAGGAAAAAAGAGGGCAAAAGTTTGGCCGATCTATACATAGTATTTTACAATCTCTCAAATCTAAATAAGAAGCATTCTACCACAGAATCAAAATTCCTTTTAAAAGAAATAGAAAAGAAAATTAATTACAAAGAAGAAGAAAAAATTTAAATAAATATAAATAAATTAAGGCTAAATAACTATTATACGGGTAATAGAGTCAGTAAAAATCTAACAAAAAGATTGCAAATTCACCATGCCAGAAATAGGGTAGATAAACTGGTGGAGGGCCAAAATATTTATTCCACCCCACATCAAATCGGAAAAAAAATTAACCAATTTTATGAGGATTTGTACAATCTTAAACTGAACCCCAATCCAATTGATATCCAAAATTATCGAACACTTTGATCCCGAAAATCTCCTCTCAAGACCTAGAAATAATGAACAAAAAATTTTCAGTAGATGAAGTACAAGCACAAATAGACAAACTAGCTATGAACAAAACCCTGGGCCCTGACGGCTTTATGAATCTATATTACAAATATATGAAACACCTACTGATTAAACCTTTAACTGAAATGTTCAATGAGATAGTGGATAATACATTATTCCCTAAAGAACTCCTCCAATCAAACCTTATTCCAATCTTAAAAACACATAAAGACAGTTCAGATCCCAGTAATTATAGACCCATTGCTCTGATAAATGTGGACATGAAACTGTACTCCGCTATAATTGCAGACAGAATTAAACAAATTATATCTAAATTAATCCACTTGGACCAAGTTGGGTTCATTCCAGGCAGGTCGGCATCTAATAATTCCAGAAGAATACTTGATATAGTGGACTTGGCCAACAGACAAAAGATACCCCTCCTGACCCTGTCTTTAGACGCTGAAAAAGCATTCGACAGGATCAGGTGGGTTTATCTGGATGAAGTTCTGAAAGCTTTTGGTTTCAGGGGCTGAATATATGGAGCAATATTGGCTTTGTATTTTACCCCCTCAGCCAGAAAGGTCGGACCAAATATATCTGCGGGGTTGTTTGATCTTAAAAACGGCACGACACAGGGGTGTCCCCTGTCTCCATTATTATATATTCTATCTGTCAAGCCCCTGGCCATCAATATTAGGAATAATCCACTTATCAAGGGCTTTTTTACAAAACAAAGGGATATAAAAAGCTCACTGTATGCGGATGACGCCTTAATCACACTTACCTCTCCTGAAGACTCATTACCTTTTTTAATGCAGGAAATTGATAAATACACTAAGGTATCAAACTTAAAGTTAAACATCTTGAAATCCACGGCAATGTTTATAAATATGGATAACGTTATTGTAAATAGATTATCTAAGAACTATAAATTTATTTGGACAAAAAAAGAAATTAATTATCTAGGTATAATTATACCCGCTAAGGTTTCTGACACAATGAAGAAACGTTCTGAATTTATTG